CTTGACTCTAATTTGCATTTACAGATTAGAGATGACAGTAACGCGATACTTCTGTTAATAACTTGAGTATGAGGCCTTTCTCAGCAAGAGGGTAGGGGAAGGGGCGGGGGGGGTGGGGGGAGAAATTGCAGAGAAAGGCTTATTCTTTGCCGGGTGTTTCCTCCTCCTACCCGTCTCAGAAAAAAATCGTGACAGCAAGTTCAAGATGATTTTTTATAACAAGAAAAATGGTTTTGTTTCGTCGTCAAATTCAAACAGCAGAGTGGTTTGGCATAATATTTTGTTTCTCTACAATTTTTTAACCATTTTTTCTTAAGTTCTATTGAGTGAAATTTTTGTAACAGAAATATTAGTTCCCATGAAGGAAACTCTTTTTTTCTTTCAGAAAGCATTTTTTTGATCTTTAAAACGAAAACTTACGGCTGTCTGGAATGGAATGAGTTAAATAGTTTAGTCTACTTAATTGAATGTTTGGATAATAAGCATGATAAGATGCCTAAGTTATAGGAACATTATGAGTGATAAAGTTTACAAAAAAAAGATATAGAAGTTTTAGTTCATACAATAGTGTTCCATTGTTTTCAGTCAGTAGAAATAAAAGAAAGCTGGGGCAGCTTTAGTGATAACTATTACTAGTAGAATATATAAACAATAGCCTTCATTTGGCGCGAAAATACGCACGGATATTTTGTACGCGGACCAATCGCGCGCGAGCGAAAATATTTGATGGATTATAAGGTCAGTTATGACTTGTTTCTGTTTAGGTTAAAAATTGAAACCTCGACCCCAAGAACAATCTCCATGCCACTCCTCGTTTTCCGGCGGGATCATTTGCGGTCCAGTTTAGGATCATTTCCGGTCTGGGGATCATTTGCGGTCCAATTTAGGATCATTTGCGGTCTGGGGATCATTTGCGGTGCTGCACAGCCTCAAAAGGTCCACAGAGGGAGCTTTTGCGGTACCTTTTAGGGTACTGAGCCGAAGAAATATGACAGGAGATAATGTGTTATGTAAGAAATGGTACCTCTTAGGGGAGATAAAATATTTCACGCCACGTCCACAAAACCGGATCTTGGTACCTCTTAGGGGTTCTTTTCAAAATTTCCGACGAGCACCCCAGTCCTTTTTATATGGGAGTCCCCCCCCGTGGTTTCAGCTGTTATCTATCGCTTTTTAGTATAAATCTACTAGCGTTCTATCACGAATGTCGTTGTCTGATAGGCTACGTTAGATAGTGAGTAGCGTAGCGGTGTGCCCTTGTTAACAAAATGACGGCCGCTTCTTGGCGTTTTCGAAGTGTCTGTGAAGAGGGTTTAGATAAAGGTTTGAACGACTGGTAGATTTATACTAAAACAATTAGATTATTCGCTCTCGATTTCTATCAATGCGGATTATTGACGAGGGCGTAGCCCGAGCTCATAATCTAATTGCTTAGTAGAGTTTGACACCTCTGTAATTTGCCATGTGCCGAGTTAAGTGTGGTTTGTCTTGCCTCATTTCTATTGCAGAAATGTATGTTGTATCTCGTTAATTATTCGCTCTGGAGGGGCAAAGTCGTTTATCATGTTGATTACTTGTATTGTGTATTGTGATGCCAAGCCCGGTTGTTAGATTGTCACCCTACTAACCACGGATCATATTTACGTTACATTTGTCCAGCGTCGCCAGAGACTGCTGTAGTGTTACCTTCGAGGATCCTAGAGATCCTTTCTGTGTAGTCAAAGTTCTGTTTCTTCCATCCTGAATTTGCTCGAGGTTTTCGTCTCCTGAGCTCGATGTTTAGGTTTATACCTCTATTGTTCCTTATTCCTTTTGTAACTGAAAAGCCCCTTTGGGGAGTTGCAAATAAAGTATGTATGTATGTTCGTTCTGGCACCACATGATTTAAGGTGGCTGAACACAGTTTTTGATACCTGTGTTTCACTCACCTTTTTCTCTAAAATCCTTGATCCCTCGGTCGCCCAAAATGGCAGCAAGCAAGTTAACAACACAAACTTTGGTTTTTTGATGGTTAAGCTGACGTACGTTCCGTTGCCATGGCAACACGAATAAAAATAAACAGGCCTTTAAAATCGGTTTTGCTTATTTGTAGAAAATCTAGTCATTAGATTTTCATTATAATTTGCATGCACCAAGCTTGTAACGATTCTTACAAGCTAACACCATTTTGCTAATGATTTAACGGAGAGATCTTTAATTATCCCTTGTTGAAGGTTTACTGGAATATCTAGAGTTTCCTTTGTTAAAGTTCAATTATTTTCAATACTCCAGTTACTTATTTCCTAAAGTATTCTCGTGCCAAATTTCGTGAAATTCTAATGGGTGGTTCTCGAGAAATAGGCGTATTT